GCCTACATCAGGAGCTCGTAAAGACAACAGAGGATTCTCAGCTCTTAGTTGGCTTTACTGTAGGAGAAACTGCAGTCAGAGCTCATGTCTGTTTTTTGACATCACAGTGTGTTGTGAGACTACAGGAAGTGCCAGGGTACTTGGCTCCAGTCCTACACTTTTTGGTTTTGGTTTTTTTTCGTGTGAAAGGAATGCTGTAATGTTTGTGAATGGAATATAATGTTCTTCTGTTTAAGTTATGAAATTGTGTGTGCAGTATCTGTGCTGCGAAGTTATCTATGGTAACTTCACAAACAGAAGCAGCTCTGATTAAATCATAGAGATAAAATCAGTCCAGGTAGTTACCCAGTAGTGCCACAGAGAGCAAAAGTAGTAAAGGACTGCTACTTCTCAGCTTTCAGAAACTGTTATAAGCACTTTGAAAAAGTGACAGGCGAAAAAGGGTGTGAGTGAATCTCTTATGGTTATCTACATTTGGTTATTGGTGAGAGGAAAAAAACCAAACTAGTATTTCTTTTCACCTTTAGACAGTAGAGATAAGAGAGGTTTTCTTGCCATTCACCCCTCCAGTGGTGGTTCACACTGATAGGAGAATGGCGCAGAAAGATCCAGATGTGGTTTTAAGTTTAACATGTGCTGATAACCTTTGTATGCCCAAGGCCCTTTTCTGATTTCTTGTTGGTGGCAGTGAAAAGAGCATATGTGTGTTTTCTGAAAATGGCTTGGTTTTTTATTTACTTTTGAGTAAAAAAGAGATTTTCCCTTTCATCTAAAGACACACTTCTCAGTGGATGTCCTGGCAGTTACCCTTCTATTTTTTTGAAGAGTGTTGCCCTTGGAGTTACACATTTGGTTTGTATTTGCTCGTGCTGGTTCTTACGTCTCTTTCCAGAGAGCCAAATGCATTATTAATGTTTAGGTTGCTTCAGGACATAAGAAAGTGAGTGAGCTTGCTAATAGAACTCCTGCCAAATGAAGAATTGAAGCTATGGGATTAAGTACATTCTTAAAAGGATGATGATGATGATTCTACAGCTGTGTTGTTGGTCTAATATGTTGATGATTATATAAAAAAAAGGAAGAAACCTCCAAAAAAGACTGGACCATACATCAATTTAGTGAGTTTGGGAATCATTAGAGACCTTATCCCTGTTTTATTCAACCCCACAAGAGGGTGCAGCAGCTTTGGGCTAAGTTCTGGAGAAACATGTCATAGTTTGAAGCAGAGGGTGTATGACAAACTTTACAGGTATATTTTGAGTAGCTTCTTACACACTTATAAAGTGGGAGCACTGTGGAGCACTATGGATAGCTTTTGGTCACCTTAAACTGTACTCAGCTCTTGTTTGCACACATTGTAATTAAATTTACTTCGACCTAAGGGAATAGCCAGGAGTGGGAATTGATGAAAGCAAGCACTGCAAATGCGAGGCTTGGAAATCAACTCTGGGGCAGAGAGAAAATCTGAAAACAACAAATCATACAAAAAGTGGAAGATAATGAAGCCAAATGGAAAAGAATAGAGAGTCTTGCAGTTTTGTGTTGGCGTTTCTGTTCTGTCACCCCTATTGTTACAGAATTCAGGAACGTATACTTTGGGTGAGAAAGCTTTCTTTCATTTTTTGGCAGCAAACACTTCAAATGCAACTAGAAAGTCTCCAGTTAACCTCTAGTGCTGCTGAAGGAGGTAGAGTAAAATAAATTACAGATAGCTATAGACACTACCTTAACTTGATTTTTGGTTATGAGAGCAGTGAGACTGAAATGAAGGCTGCAGCGTGGCAAACATGAAATGCTACCTTGCCTGATGATTCCAGGGTGTGTGTTGTAAATCATCAGTGAAAATCTACTGCAGCTGCTTATTATCCTCAAAGAGGAATTACCTAGTGGCTGTTCAACAGCATATACAGCTTGGGCTTGAGCTCAGTCAAATGCCCATGGAATGGGTCACACTGGAGCACTCTACATCTATGATCAGCACTAGCTGTCAGTTCTGTAGTCAGCTTGCTGACTGAAGGGGGGGGTTGAAGGGACTGAAGATGAGTAGAGGTTTGGCTTTGGTTTTTTTCTTTCCCTTCTGCTGCTGTTGTTCATTTTTCCAATTCAGTGACTGTAGTTTTAGCAAAGGTATAGAGAAGTGGTTGCTGTAGTTACTTCTGAAGTGCTTGGTTTTCCAGAACTGACTGGAAAGCAGTCCATTACTTTTGGTCTTCTGCCTCATTCCCTGGACATCAGTACCACATGTGAGCTTACAGTGGGTAATTCATCTGCAGGGCCTGTAACCAGTAAGCTAAGTCACTGTTTTGGAGGATTTACAAGATATGTAGTTCTTCTTGATTATATAAATGTAAATAAATAAATGTTTATAGACTTGCTCCTGATGGTAATCACTGTGATAACAAAATATTTCTAAACTGCTTAGAGCTTTGCAGCTGTCACATGCCTGTGAGGTGAAAAAGACTATTTACAGATAGAGAAACAGAGAAAGTCAGAGGAGAAGGCTCATGATTTCCTTGAAGGTAGCAAGGAAGCTGGACCTCCAATTCTCCTCCCACACAAATCTCTGTTACAGGTCCTACAGCTGGGCTGGTATTGTGCATCTCTTTGAAAAATACCAGTCCTATTTTTAACAATAGTGTATGCGAGCAGAAACGTGGGAGACAATAAAAAGAGTTTTTTCAAATATATTAATGGAAATAGGCAGTATAGAAATATCATTGGCCTGTTCCAGGATCAGGATGTTCACCTCCCAGACAGCAGAGGAGTTTAGTGTTTTCTTTGCCTCTGTCTTCAACATGGATGATGGACCAAGGGGGTCTCAGTGCCCTGAGTTGGAGGACCATAAGTGTGAGAACAAGCAACTTCCAGTCGACCCTGAAATTGTGTGGGATCTGCTGCTCCAGCTGGATCCCTGAAAATCTGTGTGGCCTGCTGGGATTCGTCCCAGAATCGTCAAATAGCTGCTGATGTCATCGGAAAACCTCTCTTGATGATTTTGGAGTGGTCTTGGGAATCCAGAGAGGTCTCAGATGACTGGAAGCTGGCAAACGTTGTCCTGATTTTCAAGAAGGACCAGAAGCAGGACCCCAGAAACTACTGCTACTGTGATTGAGGCCTGTCAGTCTCACTTCAGTGCCTGGAAAAGTTATGGAGAAGATTATTCTGGGAAGTATTGAAAACCACCTGAAAGACAGTCATTGTTCACAGCCAGCACAGCTTCATGAGGGGAAAGTCCTGCTTATCCAACCTGATTTCCTTCTATGGCAAGGTAACCCACCTAGCCGATCAAGAGAAGCCAGCTGGATTTGAGTAAAGCTTTTGATCCTGTCTCTCCCAGGATCCTTCTGGACAAACTGTCCAGCCCACAGCTGGATAAACACACTATGTGGTTGGTGAGCAATTGGGTTGGGCACAGAAGGTGACAGTCACTGGGGGGACACAGACTGGTGACCTGTCACTGGTGGGGTTCTGCAGGGCTCCATGTTGGGCCCTGTGCTCTCCGACGTCTTCATCAGTGACTTGGATGCAGGACTGGAAGGGACACTGAGCAAGTCTGCAGACAACACAAAACTGGGAGGAGCTGTTGACTCCCTCGAGGGCAGGGAGGCTCCGCAGAGAGACCTGGACAGATCCCAGAACTGGGCAATCACCAACCAGAGGAAGCTCAACAAGGGAAGTGCCGGATTCTGCACCTGGGATGGGCCAACCCGGGGTGTATGGACAGACTGGGGAACGAGAGGCTGGAAAGCAGTGCCAGGAAAGGGCCCTGGGGGTCCTGGTTGATGGCCAGTTGTCCATGAGTCAGCAGTGCCCTGGCAGCCGGGAGGACCAACCCTGTCCTGGGGGGCATCGGGCAAAGCATCGCCGGCTGGGCCAGGGAGGGGATTGTCCTGCTCTGCTCTGACCTGGGGAGGCCTCACCTGCAACATTGGGGCAGTTTGGGGCACAGGTAGTATATAAGAAAGATATTAAGACATTAGAGAGTGTATAAAGGTGGACAATGAAAATGGTGAAGGGCCTGGAGGGGAAGCTGTATGAGGAGCAGCTGAGGGCACTTGGTGTGTTCAGCTGGAGAAGATGAGGCTGAGGGGAGACCTCACTGCAGTTACAACTTCCTTGTGAGGGGAAGACACTGGGCTCTGCTCTGTGATGACCAGTGTCAGACTCCAGGGAATGGCCTGAAGTTGTGTCAGAGGAGGTTTAGGTTGAACATTGGAAAGAGGGTCTTCCCCCAGAGGGTGGTTGGGCACTGGAACAGGCTCCCTAGGGCAGGGATCATGGCACCAAGTGACAGAGTTCAAGAAGTGTTTGCATGATGCTCTCAGGCACAGGGTGTGACTCTTGGGGATGGTCCTGTGCAGGGTTGGACTCGATCCTTGTGGGACCCTTCCAACTTAGCATATTCTGTGATATGAAAGAAGTTTTAACTTCTAAAAGTAAGATCTATAATGAAGTATAATTAAAGTTGTCACAGCTTTTGTGCAGAATTTGAGCACACTGCCCACAGTGATTATCCGGTCTTTCAAATTACTCTTGATAAGAAGCACCCTTTCATAATATATAAATATAATATATTTATAATATAGTATATAAATTCTACTTGTAGGCTTGATATAATGAGGAGTTCACGGCCTGTATAAAGTTTCATATACTTTTCTTAGTTGAAAAAAAAAGTATTTAAATATATATGAATATATGTTTTATCCTGTAACATGGCATAGAGAAAGAACTCACCTGTAGAGGTTGTGTTGATTGCCAACGTTTTGTCTTATGCAAGCCTGACCTATGAAGTTAGAGGACTTCATTTAACTGAACAGGGCATATTGCTTTGCATTCTGTGATTAGTTTCAAAACAAAACTGCAGAGATATCTAAAAGGTTAGAGGTGACACAGCTCCATAACATTAGCATTTAGTAGAATAAAATCCTAATACAAAGTAAAACACAGCAACTGTGTGAATTACAATTTTTTCTTTTTTCTTTTATTTTTAACCATCACAGTTTCAAAGAACATTTGAATCTTTAAGAAATGTATCCAGTAAATCTGAGCTACAGAAAACCTACCAGAAGTTTCGAAAAGATCTGGAAAATCTGGATTATTTGGCATACAAACGTCAGCAGGTAAGAACACGGAAGCTTGGTAAGAAGACATAGAATACTGGACATAAACCTGGTGGATGGTAAAAGGGATGTGTTTGATGGAGTTCCCTGTCCTGTCAGTAGGATTTTGTGCTTTGTGCAGGGTTGTCAGGTGAGGCAGCAGGAGGGGTGTTTAATGTGTATGATGTTGGACTGCCTGTGTTGTGATTTCTCAGCAGAGAGGAGGACAGGCAAAGCAAGTAAGTGAGGCTTAGCAGAGTGTTGAATTTTGCATTAACATGTAACAGTTTATTGTTGCACTTCTATTGAAGTACCTAGAAGTACTGTTTGCATTCTTTTACTTGAAAAATGAGCTAAATCCATAAGTTAATGGAATTTGATACTGACTGTACATTCAAACCACTAATTGTTTCTTCTTTAGAAATGAATTTCTGAGGTTAGATTGCGTAAGACTTTGAAGCGTACACAGTCTTTGACTTGTGCTTGCAAGATCAAGGTTAAATTGAATTATTAACATGTATTTAATGTTGGATATTCTGTCACTTATACATAGCTTATGTGAAAATGTCAGCTCTCATAATAAGTATTCACATTTTTTTTGTCTTGATAACATAAGACTTTGCCTCTTTCAGTGTGCAGGAGAAATGCTGTGACACTTCTTGTTGTGGTTTGTATTTTCCTTAAATCAGTCGCTTGGTGTCAGTGTTGTCAAACAGTTCATTTGCTTGGGAGCAAATCACTTGCAGCTGTTTCTATCAGTATAATTGATTAGATTACTTGGGTCTTAGTTAATTTGCACTGTATACCTGAACAGTAGTTATATGGTTATGCTGAGTAGTATTTTATCTGCTTGTTGATACCAAGATTTTCTCAATATATCTCAATAGAACTTGCTGCAGAATCTGCAGTGAGGGATTTGAAAAGCTGCTGTATCTATTTAGTATAGAAGATGTTTTGAATTTTGTCCTGCTGGGATAAGGAACTGATTTTTCTGTGAAAAGATAGACAATTGTTTTGAGTACTGTGCAAAAATCACAGCTCTGGTTTGGGACTGAAGCTATTGTGAGTTTGTGACATGTTTGTGGAGTATGGGCATTTAATTGATAACAATTTATATACTCTCATATTAGCTTAAGGGTATATTCATAGCCCCACTGTCAAAATGTTGAGTAACTGCCATCTGTTTGGAGACAAACAATTATATATAATATGAATATGAATCCATTCAAGGTAAAATAAGTGGTTTATGTACTAAAAGTAACGAATATTGCTTTTGAATGAAACACAGTTATCCACTTCTGTCCTTTTTCTTCAGACATAAGGCATGAAGTGGAATATAGCAATGTGATTCTTCAGTGGTAAAATTTACAGGACAGATGGGAAATTGAAGCTGTGCCTTTTAAACGTTGCTTCAAATGACCCACATTGACTCTGATTTATAAGCACAGACCACACGTCGATGAGTGGTAGCAGTATACAAGAGGCAAACTTGTTTGGAATGGTGGTTTATATTAAGCTGTTTTTAACTGGCAATATTCAGAATGTGGTAGATCATCCCGAATTTTCAGATAGCCAGCAGATTGCCAACAGAAATGTCTCTTTAAAATGCTCAGTGAGGTCAAGAATGCAGTTGTGCCTTTCTTTATACTAAACCCCCAAAGTTGTTAGCAGATGTTGGTCAGCCTTTCAAAACTTCAGGTTCTAGTTTTGCACGTGGTTGAGTTGAGCTGGTGTGAAAGTGGTCACGGTGGCGAAATTCTTTGGTGGTTACAGAGCAGGAAGATGGGAAGTTCTTGGAGTTGGAGACATCGTGTTGGAAAGCAGAATGATGTGGATGACATCTAGTATTTTGGTCAAGAAGCCTGAACAATGCTCTTTGCCATTCTTCTGTGTCCCAAACATGATTTGAAGTATTAAACCACTTGTATATGTCACGTCTTGTTACTGTTGCTGTCTGTAGGGGACTCCCAGTGTGCTTAAATCTGCTTCAGTGTGTTAAACTGACTTAAAATTCCTTGCTTTTCGGTGATCTCAATATTTTGTTGCTCAGTTGCCTACTTATTGCTCTCTCTCCTCAATCCAGACGGATGTCCCTTCATCCATGAAACTTATGGTGACCTAATCTTTCTGTGTGCTTCCAGAGTTGTGTTGCATGTGCCAGAGAAATTCCTTTGGGTTGGGAACATCAGTTTATAGCCAGGCTGCCATTTTGAAACCTGCCAGGAGATTCCTGTCTCTCAGAAATGTTTTTCTTTCTTGTCCAGGAGATAGTCTGGCAACTCCTTTGAACTAAAACAAGCTTTTGATTTCTTTGATACTGTCTCATCTCTGAGATTTGACTAAAAAAGAATAGCTCCATGCCACAGTGAGTAGTAGAACTATTCTCTTGCTCTGTGACTTTTTGGAATGTTTCCAATAAGAGCTAAGTCAGCTTTACATGGGTTTGGATTAACCTAAATATTAACACATCTGCAATATGAATAATTACAGGGGAAATGAGATAGGACAAAATGGTAAAGCACTTGGGGATAAGAGAGGACTCTGATCCCAACACTGCTCTTGGAATACTGTAGTAGGTGCAGGCTTCCTTTTTTCTTGTGTTCGTCTTTGTTCCTATTGAAGGGAAGTGGTCCATATATTGTTCAGCTGGAACAGTACTGGTTTAAGGCTATTCATTTTAATTATCTTACTGTAAGGTCATTTCAGGAGTATTGGGCAATAGCTACAATAAAAATGGAATTATAATCAAATCCAATGGTATTTAGCACCTGTCAAACTGAAAAATTATCACAGTTGCTGCTGGTTTCAGTGTTAACAGTGCCTTTAGGGTGCTGCTGGCTGGAATCCAGAACTTAGTTTTTGCCTAGAATTCTCCACCAGTGTGGTCATCTAACTGTTGACAACAGGACTTCAGTATGTGTACGCACACAAAACCTGTATCCTGTTGTAAAGCTATGCTAATTTAAAGCTTCCTTATTTGATTTGATTTTGGTTTTGGTTGTATTCCCTCAAGGTAATTGTGTGTTAAAGTTCTGAATCTATGTGAAACCATTTTCGTTATTCCATTTTAAAATCGTTTTAGGATTGCTTTCTGATGACTGTTGTGTTAGAAATTCAAGAAGTTAAGGGCTGTATCAAAGATGCTTATGGGAAGTAATGTTTCCAGGAGATGGAGCAGAGCCATTGCCTGTTTTACTTCACATTAGCCCATTGTTACCTGTCTTCATGACCATACAGGCCAAATTTGCATTTTAAAAGTTTTAATTTTGAATGCAGACTTGCTCCTACAGTCAAATGATATTTCTTTTTGTTAAAATGGACCGAGTGCACTTTTATTCTCTGCCTTTGATTGTTCAAAACTTTGGGGGGAGAGAATTGAGAGGGTGAACGTGTGAATACTTGTGGGGCAAACGGTTTACAAAGTATGCTGAAATTTGGAGGGAGTTCAGGGGGAATTATTTGTTAAGAAAACAAGCATAATGATAGAAAACGTAAAGAACTCAGTCGTGGGGCTTATCTGGAAAAAGTTATGGCTTAGAAATGTCAGAAATAGAGGTACTTGATTAAAGCTCTGTTCTAGTACACAGAAATATGACAAAATCCAATGGATGGAAGTCAGAAAAATTCAAACAAGAAAGCAATTGACAATTAAATACAGAGTTGGCTTAGTTAAGAGGTGCAGTACATTAATCATTGCTTGTAGCCTTTATATCCATTATCCATGCCTTTCTAAAAGATATGGAGTAACTGAGATGCAAATCAAAGGGCAGGAATTAGGAAATTTTTATGGCTTGTGCTATTTAATGAATTTGAATGAGAATTCACTTCTTTTTTTTCTCTAGACTTAGGAATGACAGTGCATTTGGTTGTGTATTTGAGGGTAAAGGCAGAATTATGTCTTTTGAATTGCTATCTTGGATTAATAAATGGGTGAATTTGTTTACTTTTGTATTTACCACTCTGCCACTGTACAAACATTTGCAGAGTTGGATGTAGTGAAATCTTGTTTAGGATTTTTCAAAGAAGCCTAGGACTTCACTCTTGAGTAATTTTAAGGACATATAGGCATTTGATTCCCATTAGTTTTCTGAAAACGCCTTCTCTCCTTTCCTCCTTTAATATTTAGTCACACAATATTGATTATAAAATGAGAGTATAGGTTGTATTTCCAGTATTCTAGCTGCTTATTATCCCTTGACGTAAGAACAACTATCTATCATGTTGTTGTGTAATTAAAGTAGTTGATTTATGCATTCATTTTAAAAAAAGCAAACAACAAATCAGTCTCAGTGTCTAAGAGAGTGAAAAATTATGACAGTTCTGTTTTGAGGCACCTGACGTGTTTTAGCAATTCCGTGATTATAGTTCTGTCGTTCGGCCATTGCTTCTGTCTGTCCTGTGTATCTGTGTGGCTTCCTTAATGGGTGAAGAGGATTTCCTTCTCCCTGCCCACCTGAAAGTGCTGATATTCCCCTGTTTATATTTTTTTATACATAGTCAGGGTGGTAGGGAGGAAGACTTTTGTACCCCCCCTCCACATTTGCCACAGTGTGTGCCATCGTTTTCCAGCTCGGCTTTTCAGTTGGACGTGCCTGCCTGTAGTGCCAGTCTTGCACGATCTTAATTTGCAAACAATTTGTATCTCACTGTGTGCAGTTTTTCTGTCTCTGCATGGAAGCTAGACCTCTGAGGGGAAAAAAAAACTTTTCTGGGAAAATAAAACAGAGAACTTATCTTTTAAAAACAATGGTTTGGCAACTTCTGTGTTTGGTGTGGATTTTATTTTGGTGTGTGTGGCCCATGATATGGAGATTTGGTGAGCTCACTGTACAGCTGCTCAGGGAGCAGGGGGAGGGTTTTTCTGGTCTTCTCATATATAGAGTTTTTACTTTTAAAAATCTGAGCATCAAAATTAGGTAAAATATACAAGAAACTTCAGGGGGAAAACCAGAAAGTGTAGTTGTATAGTTGGTCACATTTGCATCCATGTGTCTGATAACTGTTCTGTTGTTAATGCCAAA